GGGGTATAAAAAAAAAAAGGCTTTTTGTTTATTTGTACATGTTCAATCGGTTTATATCTGTGCTACTTTAACCTCTTCATCATTTACTGAATGAACTGGTTCACTGACTGCACCTGGGCCTTGTGTGTTCACAGTAATTGCATTTAAATCACTAATGTGTAACCACTGAAGTGTGAGGATCTGAAACATAACTACTTTAACACCTCTTTTTTTTTGTTTTTTTACAAGCAACAAGCTCTTTTTTGGTTTAATCTGTGTGGCTGGTTCAGGACTTTAGCCTTTGCTTTTTTCACTTCTGAAAATCCATACTTACTTACACCTGATACTTACTCTGCAGAAACTTAGGGAAATACTTGTGGTCTCTGCTAATAGGACTAAATTATAGACACACATTCAGCCAAAATATTCATGCTCTAGGAAAAATCCTTTTTATGTGCAATATTTCTCATTTTATTTCTATTTAAATTTGTGACTTGTGTCAGGCCAAACTAAAGTGCTTCATATTGAGTCTTTAGAAGGTGACTGAAGAATAACACAGACATTACAGAAACAATAACCAAGATACATTTAGAGTAGTGATGGAAGTGTGGCTGTTTGCTTACTTTGGGATCTCGTAGGAAAAGAGCCTTCTGCAGCAGGGAGTTGATGTCTCCTAATGGTGGGTAGTGCATTAGCAGGCCAGACAGGTCTGGAAGTTACTGGCAATCACTGAAAACGCGACAACAAATGCAGTGTTAGTTATTCAGTTCAATAAATCAACAACATCAGAATCCATTCAAGTATAGTGCAATTACATTTGCAGTCTGAAAAACCTCTGAAAACTAAACTCGGGGAGCACTCTGTCTGTGGCTTAACCATGCTGAATCGACTCTTTTCATCCGGCGTGAAACCAAGTGTGTCCAAAATGATTTTCTCCAGGGGCTCCCATCAATTCTTACATTTCTACAGACTGCATCCCTTAACAAATCATACCTCTATGATGAACAGCATCCCCTTTGTTTGAGGGACATTAAGCTGGAGCACCTCATCATTGCTACAGAACAGCTGAGTCAGAGTTCTTTTTTGTTCAGTATTTACAATTTCCAAAGACTGCATCTAAGTTTTCCTCTCAAAAGGAGTCTTCCTGGGGCGCTGGTGGCGCAGTGGTTAGAGCGCGTGCCCCAATGGATGTGGAAGTGCGCAGCCCAGGATCAAATCCGACCTGTGGCTTCTTTCCAGCATGTCATTCCCCACTCTCTCTCTACCCAATGAGACGAAAACGCCCAAAAATAAATATTTGAAGAAAATAAAAAGGAGTCTTCCTATGCTCTGAGATGCCATGACTATCTGCATTTGGTTGTTTTATGTCAGTTCTTTAGCAACAGGTATTCAATGGCTCACTAAAGACACTAGGATGATGTTTATGGACATTATACTTCACCCCCCGTGCTGCAGCAAAGATCTGCTGCTGTCTATTTAAATCAATACGACGCCACCTGATAAAATGAGGTGGAGTAAATCACATTCTTCCATTTAGGTTTTCTTTATGAAATGAAATGCTGCAAAGACAACATATTGGATTATTTCAGTAATCAATGGAGCGTACAGGCGTCTCGAATGTAGAGCAGCATGGCCACGAAGATGTAGTCCACCAGGTCCAGAGTGATGCTGTCAGCGAACAGGGCGTCCCAAACCACCAGCAGGTCCTGCAGTGGAAACTCACGGCCGAAAAGCAGACGTACCCACCGGCTGCAGAACAGACACACAAAAAGACACAGAGACACAAGGGTAACAGTTTTGTGTACTGTGCCAAGTCCTAAAATATGATCAGACGGAGTTAACTGAAGGCGTAAACACTGACATGCCGTAGATCTGCGGGGCGATCTCCAGCCGGTTGACGTGCATATGCAGCTCAACATCGTGCTTCTTCACCAGCTGGTCCTGGATGCGGTTGACTTTGGTCACTATGGCAACAGACGGCCCCGAGTCCTGGGGCCGGGCAAATGGGATGCTGGTCAACATCTCCTCCTTACCCTGGAACAACAGATCACTACATGATCAGCATCATCGTTATATTAACATGAACAAGAAGCATGGCAAGACTGCAAAACTGGCAACTTCTGAGAACTGGCAAAAAAACTGTCTCAAGTCTGAAAAAAGATTAACTGTCTAGTAGTTAGGACTGTTAATGCAACATTCTCATGCTGGTCTCATTAACTTCTTATTCCTGCAATTATTTGGTGTTGGAAATTTTAGAAAACATGTAAAAAACCAAGGAAAGTAAAGGAGAAAGTCCTGACCAGTAAAATAATCTTGGAAGGTCATTGAAACTTTTGGCTCCCAAATGATGAAAACAAATGATGGGTTGATTTTAATAAACTGTATATAAACTGAGATATAGCATACATATGTTTTCTTTCTATTATAATATAATAAACAGTTCGTTGCTCTCAAAGTAAAATGATCTATAATAGTTCTTAGCAATAACATTTCACACATTCTTCTTTAGAGCACCTGTTATATTTCCCTATCACACCTTACACAGGAACAAAGTTGTAAAGAAAGCCTCCATAATTCATGAGATGTGACTATCTGAGGGGCAATGAATGCATGTCTATGTTGACTCTACCAGAGACACAACTGTAGAGATTTATAAAGTTACTGCTCACGTAAACCCAGCATCCACAGAGCAAATACAGAGGGTATTGTGAGGCAGGAAACAAAGTCAATCATTTATTTAAAATGCATTAATAAAACAATCCACTGGTCCTCTTCTATTGACAGAGAATCAGCTTTGAATATTAAAGAAAGTGACACAGCACGATGCAGCCATCACAACGAGCTGTTAGATGGAGGGCTAAAGGCAACACTGCAACTTCTAACATTAGATCAACTCATAGTCGAGTGCTGTTTGCATTGGGTGTAACAGGAATCTGATCTCAATTGGAAATATTTTTGACTGGCTTCTTTATGATGAAGACTGAGTATTTTGTCTGCACTATAATCAGATAAACCAGTTACTCTTTGCTTGTGTTTTTCGAAGCAGCTGCTTAAAGGAGGCAGCATTTCTTTTTACTTTCTGTTACCCATGTTAAACAGGGGTGTCGTCACACAGAGCAGAACTGAAATCTTAGAGGGTTAAAAACAGTTCCTCAGATTAAACTGACCTTCCTCACTTCCCTCTCGTAGCTGGAGAACCACGGCTCTGCTGTCTCCATCAGCTGCGAGAACAAGGCACTGTAGCCAGACGTACGTGTGTGTGTGTGTGTGTGTGTGTGTGTGGCAGAGAGAGATACATAATGAGCAAACAAAATGCAGACATACAGTACTTTTTATTCAAAGTAATGAAACTTCTCAATATGAACATTTGTTTGTGGTTTTTTATATCACATGTGTACTCACTAGGCATCGTGCTCGAGGTACTCTGGGTTCAACAGACACTTCATCTCCTCGCTGTGGGAAAAGAAAAAGAATGAAATAATCTTTCTGCAAACAAAAGATTGAAATATTCTGGCCTCTTTCTAGAGCATAGGCCCCTTAAGCACAGGCAGGTTTAAAAAGGTGTTTCTGGCTACTTAAGCGGCTACGAGAGGGGTTTCAGAGTTATGAAAGCCTGACCTGGGGCTGGCTGTCTCGCTGGCGTGCTGGAAGGCTTGGTGGTCACAGTGCAGCACAAACACAATGGGAGCCAGCAGCTCGTGCATTCCCTGCAGACAGAGGTGAAAAGACGGAGGTGGAGGGGAGATGAATTATGGTTCATTTGTGGTCAGCCTTTTTTTTTTTCTTTTTTAATGGTGATCCACGAGGTACCTAATCTGTGATGGCAGGTCTAATTTAGATATTGTTAGCCACTGCCTGGCCGCGTGTCACTTCCACTTTGCAACAATAGGCGCCGTACTGGTCATCTATTTATTCCCTGGCACCTGTTACAGACTCTGATAATGATTGGGTTACAACGGCGTCTTGTTCTTTTGTTTAAGCTCACTATTTACATGAAGGACCTCCTGACAGACACAATAGCTCAGTGAGAAAACCAAATCTGAGACTTGAAAAGTCGTATTTTAGACAACCTTTAATTAAGAAAAATCAAGAGTGTGACTGACTTTTCAGCTCAGGGAATGGGGGCTGTTGGGTCGGTGTGCGAGTCCTACCTGTTTATACAGTAACTGTTCATTTTCTCGGGCATAACAGAAGAGGATGTCCGTCAGCTTGGACCTCACGTCCTCGTCCTGGAAGTAACGGATCTCAGGGAACCTTCAGCGAAAAAGATAAGAAGAAAAAAAAATAAAAAAGAGGAGGGGGTTTACTTCATGTGTACAATAGGTGTTTCCTTTACAAATACAGTAAATAGACAGAAGGACAACACTCACGTTCTCAACACATCCTGTTTGATCATCCCCTTTAGCTCTTTATCTTGGAAGAACTTGTTCCACAGGCTCTGGACAAAAACACAAGACAGAGCTTACAAAAGTTACTCAGAGAGACGGGGGGGGAAGGGGGGACAAGAGAAGCTAGAGAATGACTCGACAATAACAACAAAGTGAAAATGAACTGGAAGGGATTGTTAAAAAACAAATTCCTCATTTATCAAATGTCAACATTTATGTAATAACACAACAGTTTTAAAAGCTGTTTCTTTTTCGAGCAATGTTGTTATTCAACAGATTGCAGTTCTCTCCTCTGATGGTTAATAATTGACTGATACGCTCATCACAATACCAAAAGTGAGCAGCCCTATCTCTGTATTTAAAAGCATTTTTTGTTCTCCTCACAATTTCACGGAAGTTTCTTGAAAAGAACTTTCCATTTTCTCTGTAATTATGATGTAAATTTCAGACTATTATTCTAACTTAGTTTGTTATGTTGAAAAAAAATGTGTTTATCTCATGAGTGAAAAGAATCCTCTGAAGAGTAAAGTAGGCATCCAAGGCACTCTGTTCAGTTACTAAAGTTAAAAAGCCTTTATTAATTACTACAAAAGTAAAGTTAAAAATGTGTGGCAAACAGACGCGTTTCAGCCAAAGACTGTAAATATTAATGGATGAAGCCTGAGTGACTTCACCCATCTGTCACTGCAGGGGGCTCTGGAGGCTCATCGGCAGCAGCCTCCATGTTGGAAATGCTGTCTCAATCTAACGTTCAGGCAACCTTACGACAGGCTGAGAGTTGGAGCTGAGGCAAGTTTTAAGTCTCTTGCCCACTTGTCGATCATGTCAGCTACGCGCTTAACTTTGGATAACGTATCGTTTTCAAAATCAAAAAATTCACCCTCCCCATACAGTGTGTGCCTGTGATGAAAATAACTAATCAGACCTATTTTGTTTTTTGTATCAGGCTGTAAACATTTGAATTTATGCTGTAAAAACTGGCTTTAGGCTGTGGTGTGAATGTGACTTCAGGTGTTACTGGAGCAAGCCTCAAGCGAACACTCGAAGAACTGCAGGATTTTGCACTTCCGCATTGGCTTCATTTTTAAAGACTGGAGGTTTGCGCTTGGTTTCAGCTCATCACAGCCTTCATCGGGGTGTACAAGTACGTCATTATATAGCGACAAAAATCTGCCCAAAAATATTTAAACAGTAGTAAACCCCTGTTCGAGAAATATTCTGGCTTCATCATGTTCAACGGGAAGAGGCTGAGGCATGCTGTCCATTTGTTTATACATTCTAAGGCCTGTAATGACTGATATGTAATTCTTGAAGGAAAACGCCTCATAAGTTTATTGAAAGTTCTTGTATTAAGTGGGTGCACTGATAGTGTACAGAATGTGTGAAATTATCCCCTGTAAATGAGGAAAAAATAAATAATTTATATATGAGTATGAAGATAACAGAAAGCAATATAAGAAAAAAACAAGTTGTAAATGAAAAAAAGGAAGCAGATAAAAAAGAGGAAGTTTTGTTAATCAGATTGACTTTGTTGTGTGTTGAAATTTGATTTCCTGAAGAGACGACGCCTTTTATCTGAAGTAAATAAACTCATCTATTACTGGAAACTTTTTAAAGTGCATGTTGAATTATATTTGAGTTGGTAGACATACTGCACTTTGTTCTAAGCTGCTGTGTACAAACTACAAGACTTGCAAACTAGAAATGAATGTACTAACAGGAGGTGTACCAAAGGGTGCTGTCTCTATTTTCTCAGCAGTATAATTAGTACCAGATTACACGTTCTTTTCCAGGAAATATAATTAAACAATATGTAAACTTATCTAGATCACCAAAACAAAAGCTGGTGTTACCTCTCACGCATTGTCAAAGCCACACGTAATCCACCAATCACAATCTACAGGTATGTCGTAAAGTAGCAAAGAAATAAACGGAAAATTTGAATACGTTTTTCAATATTTTTCAAGGAGTTTCTTTAATTTATCACCTTATCATTAAAATAAACCCAACAAATTCATAATGATTGAAACATCAGGAATCAGTCCTTGAATAATGAATAGATAGTCTGGAGGGATTTTGTTCAAGCTCACATGTTCCAAGCAGATATGAAACATAAGACTTGTGAAGGCATGGACACACTACACACACACACTCACCCCTTCATCCTGGGACAGTGGATTGTTGACCACCAGGTCCTGCTGGCCTGCAGCCTTACGGGGGTTAGTGATGTGCTGTGACAAAGAAACAAACACGCGTGTCATTGAGATTTTGGGACAGATCAGTTTGTGATCAATCAATTGTGAAAGGGTTTCACTTCAAGAAATGCATAACCATAGTGCGACTTGACTTTCCTTCACTATAAACTGGTCCATGCTCTGTATCTATACCATGTAGCCATTCTACATAATATGGTACTGCATAATTAGGAAGGTGCTGATTAGACAAAAAAAGAAAGTGCCAAGAAACATTTTCCTAATATAAATGTTATAAAAATGATTAAAGCATCTGACACGGATCAGCTCAGTCTGTAGGGTCTTGGGTTGACAACTGGAGGGTCGCCAGTTCAAATCCCAAAGTATGAACCTTGGGACTCTTTGCTGGATTGGTGCCAGTTCACTTCCAAGGGGTTGCCGATGTGCCCTTAAGCAAGGCGCTGAAACCCCAGCTGCTCGGGAGGCTCGTTTGTGTGCTTCCCCTTCACTCTGAAATCTCTCCATTAGAACATGTCCATAGGTTCCTGTATATGCATATGTGTGTATTCCTGGATTATGTGTGTGTAGCAGGTTTAATAAAAACAAAAGAATCCCCATTGAGATTAATAAAGTACATCTTCTTCTTCTTCTTCTAAAAGGCCAACCACTCATCAGCCACTGGGCCGGCTTATTGGTTATAAGTTCCATTTGGTTTCAAAGTTAGTAGTGAGCCCGTTGTATAAGTAATTCGGACAAACAATGGAGGACAGTTCTTTAGTGCTAACTCTTCACAACCTCCTCCAGAAACATTAAAAGCTCCTGACCCTTTTTTGTCATCATGCTGACAAAATGTGCCACATGGAGGCGCTCTCACCGTCTCCTTGATCTTTTCATACTGGGCTCGGAGCTCCTTGGTCTTGTTGATCCACTGACCCTTATCTTCTGGAAGAGCCTCCAGATATAACTGAAGGCAGACAGGACACAGGTTAGTGTAAAGGCTACCTCAAAAGACCCTCCCTCACAGAAGTCACAAACATGCAGAAAATTCACACTTTCAAACTCCATCAAAAGAAGCTCTGCGTGCTGCCAGAACTGCATCTTGTTCAGCAGTAGGGAAATTGCCAAAGCCATTTTAATCAAATTCGATAGAAGTGCTTGTTCCATTTGGCAAGATACCTTCCAGCACACGCTCCGAAAGCGGCTGCTCCTCAGTCGACCGTTGATGCCTGCCTGCCGGATCCGGGCCAGGTAATTACTGTTGAGGAACAAGTCATCCCATTCTTTCCTGCATAGAGGACGAAGAGATTTATGAGCTTCTCAACCTAAATTGGGCACGGTGCTCCATCTAATGTGTCACCCAGCGGTGTACCAGTAGGCTGGAGCAGGAAAAGCTGGGCCAAGACTTTATGGTACACACACACACACACACACACACACACACACACAAGTGCTGGAAACACTCACCTGTATGAGAGGAAGGTGGACTGAGGCTGTGAGAAAGTGCTTCCATCAAGAGATCCTCCTGTTAAAAGATGCAAACACAGCCACCAGGGGGCGATGTAAACAGACAAAAACTAGAAAGAGATAATTTTTAACCATAAACAAAAACCTTTGACGACCACTTTGAGAGAACTAGCCGTTGAACTGGTTCCAAATGACCCATGGGTTATTTTTAGGGATTATGCTTCTTTCCGTGCAGTCCATCAAGAAAAGGGCCAGAGGCAGGGAAAGTGATGAAGGGGAGAGTGTAGCACCGTTCGTCTTTTTGTCTTTAATGGAGGTAATAAGTCTAATTTGGCCTGCAGGTGAACATGCACTCAAGACGGAGAGCTGTCTATCAACATTAGTTACATGAGTGGATCATTCCACAGGGACGCTCAGCATGAATATTCATCAGCACCACAACATGCCAACCCCTTACGACATATTCTCTCACTCCCTCTCACGTAAACATAACAGGAAAAAAAAAAAAACACCCTCAGCCTGGGGGGCGTCGCCAGACACCTCCGTGACTCACACTTCATGGCGAGATCCAAATGTATTCTTTATTATCTGCTGAGAAAAAGAACTTCAAGGTATTGTGAATCTCTTTTCTGCTCTACGACTCGATTGCTGGTCAGGATCATCACATCATTTCCTTTGAGAGTAGAAGAACATCACTCTGGGAAAGGGCCTTCTGAAGGAGGAACAGCTATTAGTTGCTTCAATGATTTATTGAGAGCTTGCAGCCAACTTGAGGCTAAAATAAGAATGGCCCCTAAAAGTCGGCCTTTGGAATCATTAGTCAAAGAACAGCCCAAGTCGGCTCACATTTTGTCAGTCAAATATCTGCACTTGTGTTTTTAGCCATTATTGTACACATAGCAATGTAGCACTTCACAAACCAAGTCTTATTATGACCCCTTAGAGTTCATCAGTGTCAGGTTTTTACTGGGAGCTCAATAGTATGTGGAGGTCCAGCAAAAAGAGCGCAAACAAAAGTCCCATCAGCTAATGAATTAAGATAGATTAAAAAACAGCAGTTATTGACTTGAAACACGAAGAAAGTGGTCGTCTAAAAATATTTAAATTTAAGATGAGCAGGAGGTCTGCATGGTAATACATCAAACTCATGAATTCATATAGGAGTTTGCTGTGGTGATGGATTGATAAAATGGAATGAGTAGCTTGGTTTGACTGTCAAAAATCAGAGTTGACGTACTATTTTGGTTCTTGTTGAAATTATTGAGCGGGTCTAAGCCCGTCTCCTGCTGCTCGTCTGTCTGGAGAGGGTGGCGGGTCTCGAAATTTGGGTGCTGCATGACCACGACCCAACCGGACCTGCAGCGAGTGAAAGCGGAGACAGGAGAGAAATCAAATAGAAAAACAACAAAAAAAAAAAAATATCACATGTTGGTACAAGAGAACAGCTAGCACATTAGCCTGAGATAAATGCAGTTACAATCAAACTTGGGGGTCAGTTGTGTTGTGTTGCGCCTGACGTCTTCGTGATAGAGAGACTGTACTTTGATCGGAGCTTGTGCTGACATGCATCTCCTCGAGCACATGTTTTCTACTCTCACTAACTTTAACCTTTTCATGAAGGGTTGCACGTTCAATCTGTCTTAAAGTTTTCTCTGCTTGCATTTCACACGCATGGACTGTTTAATGTCAGGACTTACTGTCACAGTCTTGTGATTCTCCTCAGCCACGACTCAGAAGAAAAAAAAAAGACGACTCTGTAAGAAGAAAAGACAATAATGAAAGTAAACACCTTCAGTGCACGGGGAAATAAAGAGCATGGTTCTGAAGAAGGCCAAAAAAAAAAAAAAATAGACATTGTTATAAAAGGAACACATATTTTGGCGGGGAAAAAAGAAACCAGCAGCAGAAAAGAACAACTGATTCACATTACATACAGTACATCCACTGGACATTTACGATGCAACTCGGACGCATCTCAACACAGTGAAGCTTTAATATGAGAGAGTACAAGTTTCACTGACCACTTTACACTCATGTATAGAATTTAAAGCTTTAAATTCTGATTTCCTGTATACCTTACTTATTAAAACCTGGAAGATAATACTCCAACATCAAACACATTTAGAAGTGATTATACATGAATAAAAAAGGTGCTAACACTGCTTCTTTGCATTGGGTAATGAACAGAAGTTGCCGTTTATTCTGCTTTTGCGTACACCAAACTATGCTTCTCTGTCATAAAATAACAGTGATTCTCATGATGTCATTAAATAAGCCAATTTCTGCATTCATTTTATAATGTCACTTTAGGGCTTCACATCGCACATCGATATGATGCTGATAACCCTCTCTTTGAAGTGATAAAGGAGCCGTTACAGTTTCAGGAACTTCGTCAGGCTAATAAAACAAAGTTTGTGAGCATCGTGCTGCAAAATGTAATGACATGATCCACAGGAAGAGATATGACAATGTAGATATGAAGCTTCTGTTATTATGTTAGAGACGCACAGATCCACTTTATTCAGTTCAGATCTGATTCTGATACAAATGTACCGATACAGGTACTGAGTCAAGGCTACACAATGCTGTAGTAAACCCGGAGTTACATTTTTTTTACTGAAAGAGAAAAACATAATATTTATAAAGAAATGCATCAAAATCTAAATCACTCTAAATAAATTCATTGCAGGCTTCACATACAAACAGGAAGCAGCAACAACTGTAAGGTTTTCAAATTAAATATTTGAAACTGAAGTGTAAGATTTGGATTTGTTACATCACATAGAAGGAGCCGTTTCATCTCGTCTGAACGTCGTCATGGAGACGGTATGTGGGAATTCACAGTTCAGTCTGAATGTGTGGATCGGCTGCGTCAGTCCGATATCCAAATTATGTCAATTACGTCAGTATTGGATCTGTCCCATCTCTATCGTTAGGCATGTCATTAGCTTTATATACAAAATCAATGTCCATGCATGCTGCGTTGTTGTCAATGCAGAGTGTGATGTCAGAACTAATCTCCAAATTATACAAATCTACTACTGCAAGACTGATGAATACACAAGCAATAACAAGCTGGGGAGGTTTTTTAATTCACATTATCTACAATTACTATATAACATAGTCATTCTTCTTCTGTAGTTTGACTCTTATACTGTTGTCACAAGTGACTGTCCTCGGAGTAGGATCAAATAGTTGATCTCATCTTAATGATTAATAACAATCTGTAGATAGTGGATTATTTGTCTGTCAGTTTTTAAACTAAAGGGCCATTTTCTTCCGGTTACAGCGCCAGAAATTAGAACTTTTGATGCTTTTCTTCCTGTTACATTGTAAAGCGTAAATACTGTTGAGTTTAAGATATGCAGGAGACATGTAAGCGCCCTGGATCCCAGGAAATAAATAAAAAAAAGACACTTTCCAGTGCTTGTTTCCAGATCAAAGAGTGAGCGATCAATGAGAAAAGAATCAACATATTGCTTGAAATGGTGTAATCGTGTAAGTAGTCGGTCAGGGCCCTCGTGTCAAGATGTTACATGAGCAGATTCAGTGAGCAGTGATGATGAATAATCTGAACTGATCAAATGAACACCATAATTAACCTTAAAGAGAATTAAAGTCGCTCACAGAGCAGTATGTTGGTGTGAGCAGTCAGAATCTATTGTTGTCACACTGATAATAGTTACAGCAGCTATTGACGGCCAACGAGATTTCCGAGCGTTTCAAACAGGCTGCAGTCCATTGAGGGGGCCAGGACTGGTTATAGTGTCAATAAAGAAGTTAGCTTACAGCAGCAATAATACTTTGCCCCTGTGTAAAAAAAGAAAGAAAGCTTTACAGTTACTAGTATGTGAGCAGTGTGTCATCATTTTACAGTCTCATCTGGAAATGTATCTTGCAACAATTCTGAAGACCAATTTATCTTTAGGTTGGTAATCAAGCGAAACACTGCTGCTCCTGCTCCTCAGCTTATCTGGTTTTTGAATCATTTCAATATGAATATCTTTGTGTTATTCGACTGTTGGTTGAATGGAACAACCAGTCAGAAGACTCATTGCTGAGGGATGTAAGAAACGGTGGTTTCTTTCCTTACTATTTTTGGATTCTTTAAAAGACCCAACCATGAGTTACAGAGCTGCAGAAACCTGAAAGTGAATTCATCAGCAGATAGACCATGTACTGTTTCACTCTCTGGTTTCAGGTCTTAGTTGTGCTAAACACAAAACCCAGATGTTTTAAAAAAGACCCAATAATGCCTTATAAATCCATCAATATAATCACCGAAACCCTGAGCCAATTCTTCTGCATGTGCCGTTCAGAGTCGAGGGAAAGTTGGACTTTCTTTGCGAGACGTCACAATCTAGGTTAAATAATTCTTCCTCCATGCTTCATCCGGTTTGGGATTATTTCCACGTTTATGAATATGGTTAGCCTAATACACAAGCCTACAGAATACACGCTTCTACAGAGCGT